GTTGTAATTCTTGATTATTACTGACTATAGCACATGCCATGAGGCTGAAAACGAGGCACCCTGAGATTATACCATGAAGGCTCACTCAGCATTTCTTTTCCTTTAACATTCCTCCATTTCTGATTTCTGGGAATTTCTTTCAGAGATCTCCAACACGTCAGAGACAGGGAAATGGTTAGAGGAAGAGGATTCTTTTTGAGTAGATTAAACACTTATATAATATCTGTTTATTTCCAGCTGCGCTGCCTGATACTTTCACCGTATAACTGAATAAAATTCACCGTAAACAATGTAACTTCAAGTAAACTGTCTTTCCTATAAAAAAAATAAAAAATAATATTTGCTAATAGAAGGGAATGAAATCTATTGGAAGATCCAAAACCCTTCAGTGGCTCAAATGTTCAAAAATAGAGGAAATCAGGAAGGAATTAAACATCTTTTTATACAGAAAGTAACACAGAAAGTAAAACATCAGAGGGGAGACTTTTAACAAAGTGTCACCAAAATTTAGGTCTAATTTTCATCAAAACTGTTTTTGTGATTAAAAGATTGTTTCATCTGCGTTCTTTACACCTCAGCTGTCATTTTTTAATACACACAATGAGTTTACGAATTTTTCCCACCAGCGTAAATTTGGCAGCTCTTTGAAATTTCTGCAAAAACTTACTATATAGAAAACTGCAACTTTTTAGATCACTTTAATAAATACAATCCAAATAATGATGGAATGTAACTTTGATAAATCCCCCAATATGTCTATATTATATGACATATGGTAGTTGCATAGAAGAAGGTGGATTTTGTGCAGGACCTTTCCATTATGGATGTTGGGTCCAACCGCGACATCGGGCAGAAGAACATTTTTGAAAAGACGCTCCGCACCACAGTGGCGGATCCAGAGCCTGATCTCGGGAGGGGCACTTGTAGATTATTTAAAGAAATAATCCAGACACAATAACCACTACAGCTCAGTGTAGTGGTTATGGTGTCAATAGTGCCAGGACCCCCTCCCACAGTAAGTAGTCAAACCGTTTAAGAACAGTTTGACAACTTACCTGAGATCTGCTGGGAAATGGGGCTGTAGTAGGGCATAGGAGCAGTGGTGTGTGTGAGTGAAGGTTGTAGTGTGTGAGTGAGGGCGGCAGTGTATGTCAGGGATGCAGTGTATGTGTGGGACAGTATGTGTGTATGGGGGGGCAGTATGTGTGTATGGGGGGGACAGTTTGTGTGTATGGCGGGCAGTGTGTG